ATGGCCTGGGATCTGGCAGTGCATTTAAGCACAGTGCTGCTCTTTAGAGAGCTTGTTCTTAGGATGGACCTTCTCTGCCCACCCACACAGTAAATGTGATGGATCAGATTCAGCCCTTGAAAAGAGGGGCCTATAATTGTCCTATGTTTTCTTTTTTCCTTGACCAGACTTGCCAGAAATTGACTGATTTTATGAGCCTTTGAAGTGAATTTGGAAGGTCTCAAGCTGAAATAATATTAAATTTATTGATAATTTTAAAAATAGCAGCTTTGAAGTACTGTCTTCCCTTAAAGGAGTATGGAATCTTTTTTCTAACCATTCCAATTTTCACTTATAATCTTTGATCTTTAACTTTCATAATTTCCTATATAAATCTCTTACATATTTGGCAAGTTTTATTTGTAAGTATTTTAGTTTTTGTTGGTCGTGATATTGCCCCCCATTTGGTTATCTATAAAATTAACTTTACGCAGGTAATATGTACTTCATATAAAGATTATATATTAGAATTCCTTTGCCAGAGGCAAGGTGAGAATTTATTGTTCAGGACTCTTTCTGTACATTTACACACGTATACCTGCGTGAAATAGACAGTATTGTTTGTGTGGTTCTTTTAAATACGTAAATGGTATTAAACTGTATTATACTACATACTATACCACTTGTTTTCCCACCCAACAGTGTCACACTTGTGCTAATATTATACAACTAGATCGCACTCTTTTTACCACTTGTATATTAGTCCATGGTATGATTCTGACAGTTTATTTAGCTACCCTATGATGAACATTTAGATTGTTTCCAATTTTTTGCTGACACATAGTATTCACAATTTCCAACCTGATGGGTGATAACGGTCGCTCATTGTTTTATGGGACATTATTTCTGATCTCTGATATTTTCAAATGTTTACTGGCTATTTTAATTTTCTTCATTTATGAATTGCTTACTTTTCTATTTAGCTGGTTTTCTCTCTTTTTTTTTTTTTTGAGACAGGGTCTTGCTCTGTTGCACAAGCTGGTATGCAGTGGTGTGATCACAGCTCACTGCAACCTTGAATTCCTGGGCTCGAGAGATCCTCCTGCCTCAGTCTCCTGAGTAGCTAGGACTACAGGACTGCCACCATGCCTGGCTAGTTTTTTCATTTTTGTAGAGTCGAGGTCTTCTCTGTTGCCCAGATTGGTCCTGAACTCCTGGCCTCAAGCCTTCTGCCTTGGCCTCCCAGAGTGCTGGGATTACAGGTATGAGCCACCATACCTGGCCTAAGTTGTTTTTCTTATTAATTTGTAAGTAATTTATTCTACATATCAGGCCTATGTCATGTTTCAAATTTTCTAGTGTCTTTTTGTCAAAAAGAAGTTTTTAGTTTCAAAATAGATAATTTATCATCTTAGTCCTTTGCTTTATTTGTGATGTAAGGGCATAATTTCAGTAATTTTAAAAATACTGAAAGCTGTATATTTATTCTTTTATTAGCCACCTTCCCTACATTCTGTTCTAGAATTTGAATTTAATTCCAAAAACACACAATGGTTTTTTTTAAGTCTTGACTTAACTCTAGATACAATCTATTTTTTCAACATTCTATAAAATAAATTAAGAAACAGGAGGTACACACAAGTATATATTTATGTACATGACTGTATGTATATGTAGGTAAATATTTGTACAGCAGGGATTGTAAAGCAGTTCTTGTCTGCCAAAATACATAAAGGCAGAGAAAGACTGCAATGCCCTGGTTACCAATAAGACCACCATGTCATTTCTATCATTACACTCCATTCCACACTGATTTCTTTGTGGGTGGATTTGGCCACCATAATGCCACCAACTGGCAGGATGCTCATATGACCTCCGCATGAGCAGCGTTTCACCCTTTATCTCTATTGTGGCGTGATTTTATAAAAGGGTATCACTACAAAGAAATTCAGAACAATTCAAATGTTTTGAATTCAGGTACTGAAATAATGATATTCTACTAAGATCGAATATATTATAGTTTATGGTTTTCCATTTTTTAAGTGGAAAGATTAATTTTTTTTCTAAGTGGAAAGATTATTATTCATAACATCTATGAATAATCATTGATTTTCCTAACTTCTTTGGGTTTTTAAATTCATATTTTTTGTCTTTATTATCCACACTTTTGTTTATTATGCTGGTTAAAACTTCCAAAACAACAATGCTGAATAACAGAAGTGAGTATAGGCATACCTGTCTTATTCCTGAACTTAATGAAATCTAATGATACTTTTTTTTAATTTGATGTTTCTGTTTCTCATGATAGTCTTTAAGAAAATTTCCTTTTATTTCTAGTTTAAGTGCTTTTAACAACAACAAAAAAGGGAATGCTCAATTTTGTTAACTAACTTTATTTTTTATCTATTTCCCTTGACTCAATTAACACAGAGAAGTACATTAATAAATTCCCTAATGTTAAACCATCCTTACATTTCTGGGGAGAAAAAAGGTCCTCTGGTACCTTTTCTTAATACAATGCTTTGCTTGGTTTCCTAGCATTTTATTTAGTGAGAATAGATTATAGGTTTCTTTTTTTAATGCAATTTGTGTCCAGATTTGATAACTGTGTGAGCCTTTGAAGTGAATTTGGAAGGTCTCATTCTTTTTTTCTGCTCTGCAACAGTTTGCAAAAGTTACCTGCTTCTTCGAGGTAGGCTAGAACTCACTGACAACCTCTGGGCCTGTGCCTCTTTCACTAGATCTTTGATGACCTTTGACTTCCTCTCCAGCTTTTAGTTTAACCAGTGTTCTCCTGATTCAGAGAACTGTGGCAACTACTACTCTCAAACTATCTGTTTGAGAGTCAGTAGAGTCTGGTGGTCACATATACATGCTCTAGAGTCACAACTGCATGGGCTTCTCTACATTCTGGCTCAGCTACTTCCTGGCTGTGTGTCCTTGGTACGGTTAAACTCAGTGGGCTTTAATTTCCACATCTGTAAAATGGGGAAAATGTCCATGTAGTGATACTGTTGTGAAGACTGTGAGTTAATACATGTGAAGCACTTTAGAACTCTGCCTGGCCTACTCTAAGTTTCAATAAATGCCATCTATTATTTGGGAGATTCTTCCGAATAGAGTTAGAATAAAGTTACCTGTAACAATCTTACACTTTAAAATTATCCTCCGAATGTCATTATTTAAAATTCTTAATATCGTCCTATGTTTTCTTTTTTCCTTGACCAGACTTGCCAGAAATTGACTGATTTTATTGGTTTTTTCAAAGAACTACTTGGTTTTATTTATCATGCCTCTTCTTTTAAATTTCTTTACTATGTTCATCAATTTAGTTTTTCTTTTTCTGGCTTCCTAAACTGAATACTTAATTCATTTATTTTCAGTCTTCTTTAATTACTAATAAATATATGTTTTTCTCTGCATAATACAATGTCCATATCCCATAGGCTTTGATAGGAACTGCTCTCATTGTCGTGCATTTCTAAATAGTCTGTAATTTCAATTCTGATTTCCTCTTTAACCCAACAGTGATACAGTCCTATTGATTTTAAGTCAGAAAAATCTAATCGATATCATTTTTACTATTTGAAATTTGTTAGGTTTTCCCTATGACCTATTACAACATAATCATATTACTATTCCATAGGTATCTGCATAGAAAATATATTCTTTGTATTTGTATCTGTAGCTATAAAATCATGCTGCATTATTCAAATTCTTTATAGCCATAGTTAACAGCTTTTGTTTTAAACATTTCAATGCTAAGTATTTGGTGCAAAAGGGTTCATAGGCATCAAATTCAATTAATGGAAATTAGGTTTTATCAATATAAGTTAACATTCTTGTCTCACTGAACCATTCCCCATCTTCCTTGAATTCCATTTTGTCTAATATCAGGTGCTACTCCTTTCCCCTATCATCAACCCAGTATATATCTTTGTTTTTCTGAATATTTTTATCACTTGCTTTAAACAGTACAGAGCAGGATTTTTATGTTAACTTAATCTAGAAGCTTTCATCTTTTAATAAGGAAAGTGGTAGTATATTACTACAAGTGCTATTAATATAATCTATCCAAATCTAAAATTTGCTGGGTTTTTTTGTTTTTGTTTTTTTTTTTTGAGACATAGTCTCTGTTGCCTGGGCTAGAGTGCCCTGGTGTCATTGTAGCTCACAGCAACCTCAAACTTCTGGGCTCAGTGATCCTCCTGCCTCAGCCTTCCAAATATCTGCGATTACAGGCATTCACCACCACGCCCGGCTAAATTTTAAAAACTTTTTTGTAGAGACTGGGTCTTGCTATTGCCCAGACTGGTCCTGAACTCCTGGGCTCAAGTGATTCTCCTGCGTTGGCCTTCCAAAGTGCTAAGACGACAAATGAGAGCCACTGCGCCTAGCCTGATTTTTTTTTAATACACAAAAAAACAGTTTGTCCTGTACTTTTTAAATTAACTGACAACTACTACCAGTCCACATTGAGGCTTCTAATGTACAGTAAATATATTATTCAATTTTCTGGCAAACTTAAAGCATATTTGTGTCTTCTTTCAGATTTGTTTTTATACATTTAAAAGATAAAGAGAAAATCTTAAAAGAAACCAGACTTGATTAGAATGATGGCCAATTGCTCATCAGAAACAATGCAAGATTATACAATGGAATTACATCATTAAAGTTCTGAAAGAACAAAAAGAAAATCTAAGTCAGTGAAAATACGCTTTCAAAATGAAGAGAAATTAAAATTTTCCACATAAACAGAGTTGAATTAGTCACTAGTATATCTGTACCAAACTCTTCCTTTTAAAAAGGCATATTAGAATGCAAACAATTAGTGTGACATTACTATATGCATGAACTCTAACCTGATCTAATTTTAATGCCATTTATACCATTTAATAGTATAAAATAGTTTACAAACCCCAACTATTCATTATTAGCTACAAAATATTTTTCACCTACTTGGAGGGTATCTATAGTATGTGAGCAATGCTGTAACCTAATGTTGTAATAAAGGAAAAACTGTTTATTTCATTCTTGAACAACCTTACCTCTTTGTTTTGGAAAAATCTTCTCAGGATGCTGTAAAATAAATTTAAAAATGCATTAGATAATTACTGTAACATATAAAACTAAGTGAAATTTTTAAAAATAGTAATTAAGATAACTACCTTCATTATGGGCCTGGCTCGTTTCTCAAACAAGCCACTTGGAAAAAGGTAAGCAATGGCTCTCTGAAAATACACACAAAGGTTAATTAACAACTGTTACAAAAAACAAGTTAAGGTTATAATTAACAGTTATTGAATGCTTACCATATATATCAGACATTAGAGTTTCACATGCATTATCTCATTTCATAATCTTTTAAAGGGGATAATAAAATTATAATACTACACACACACATACCCCAAAAAGAAAAAAATTGTAACTATCAAACTGATTATGGACAATTTTCAAGCGTCAGCTTTAAACATGTCACTCCTTGAATGTGATATACCACAAATAATCTCTCTTTTACTTTTAAAGGAAAACTAGAGGTGCTCCTGCACAACTTCTGTGGTAATGTGCTCAAGAGCGATCGTTGCGACTCCCAGTTGGTCGTGCAAATATCAAAGAGCAGGCTCTAAGTCTCACCCCCACTAGGACACCCCTGATGTTTTTAGATGCTCTTTCAACTTTTCCCAGAGTTTTTAAACTATACTCTTTTCAAACAAGTTCTCAGCGTCTGTTTTTCAATAGGGATGCTATCGGCATTTTGGGCATGACAGCTCTGGCATAGGCACCCTTCCTCCATAGTGCAGGTCATTTAACATTCCTGGCTCTTTTCCAACCCAGCCAGTAATACCCCAGTGCTTGTGACAAATCTCACACCTAGGCCATTCCAAATGCCCCCACTTCCTAGGGAGCAGCACTGGCTCCAACTTGAGAATAACTGCTTAAGCCTTCATAGTGCCTTCTCCAACACCCCTCCTCACAATGAATGACAACAACAAAATGTGCACTTTCCTTCTCGCTGAATAGTGTCAGATGAAAAGTCTATGGCCTGGGATCTGGCAGTGCATTTAAGCACAGTGCTGCTCTTTAGAGAGCTTGTTCTTAGGATGGACCTTCTCTGCCCACCCACACAGTAAATGTGATGGATCAGATTCAGCCCTTGAAAAGAGGGGCCTATAATTTGGGAGTATAAATTCAATTATACTAGGAAGCTTACTTGTGTCTACGGGTCAAACTTTAGTCTTTCATTCAGACACTTAGATCAAACATCAGCATGCTCATTTAATAAACTTTTTTTTTTTTTTTAAACCAGGCCTTCCCTACTTCCTTCATTGTAGGAGAAAAGGTACAGTTTTTAATAAGTGATACTGAGACAACTGACTGCCATTTGGAAAAAGATAAAACTGGATCCAAACCTCACACCATATAGCAGAGTAAACTGCACACAAGTCAGAGAGCTAAATATACAAAATAAAACCAAACAAGGGCTATCATACAACATGGGTGAATTCCTTTATGACCAAGATATGAGAAAGTATTTAACTATAATTCAAAATTCAGAAGCAATTTAAAAAAAGGATTGATCAATTAAACTACATAAAAAAACAAAAAGAAAAATATGGCTCAAATGTACTCACAGTAAGAGAAGTGCAATTTAAACTACTTGAGAACATTTCTTATCTAACAAGCCCTAGCAGAAGTTCAAAACTTTGACAGCACACTGTTAGTGAGGCTATAAAGAAACACTCTGCCACATTGCTGGTGGGAGTGCCAAATGCTACAACCTCTTTCAGTGGGAAGTTTGGCGCTCTCTAACAGAACTACATATACATTTCCCCTAGCAATCTGATGTCTATGAATTTACCCAGAAGATACACCTCCACAAATGCAAAACAACATAAGCATAGGCTATTCATTGAATTATAAGCACAAAATATTAGCAACAACCAAATGCCCATACATAAGAGGTTGGCTGAATAAATGATGGCACATCAGTACAATCAAGTACTATATATTAATAGCTGTAAAACAGAGAGATGAGCAAGATGCAGAAGAAATGTAACTTGAATGCTGCTATGGTGTAAGAAAGAGAATACAGTGAGGGACACAGGGAAGAGGGCAGACTCTTTGGGTATACCTTTGTATACAGTTAAGCTCTGAAGCATGAAAATGTTTTATATGCAAAAGAATAAAATTTTCAAAAGAAACTAAAAATATAAACAGAAACAAGTAAATCTAATGTCTAATGACAAAAAATAATTGCAAAGAAATCTTCAACTTTACTTGGTAGGCTTACAGTCAGTCGTAATATTGATATTGTAATTTCTGACATTTTGTGTACATTGCAGCGTAATGCAAATAAGTAAATATATTAATTTTATGGGGACCAGAATTACATTGTAGAAGAAGAGAGATACAAATATAAAAGAAGAAAAGGGAAAATCCTATAATGTTAAGTAATATATACTCATAACCTTTAAAAAAACATCATTTCCTAGTTCTGTCCCCTGAAAGAGCATAGAAGCAAGGGAACCCCAGGAGCAATGGGTGGGCCAATTGGTTTCTAAATACAATTTCCCAGTATAAGGAAGCAAGCACCTTGGAGAAAGGGCTGAGTCTAGGCCTAAGGCAGAGAAAGTACGAAATGAGCCTGAGACATCTTCCTATGCCAGAAAACCTTGAAGTGCTCAAAAGAAGACAGAAGCCAACTTTAAGGGGCTCCTGCTGGCCAAATGTGGGACAATTTGAACACCAAAAAGAACAATGAGAATGTCTTATAACACACTCAATACGTGGGTGTGTGTATATATATATATTTAAGTGTGCATGTGTGGCAGGTTTGTGTGTGCACACTCACATATACACACACACTCAAGGGGAGGGACGAGGAGAAAAAGAAAGCGTCTTTATAGAACAATATCAGCTATAAAAGTAGAAGGAATGACAGAAGTAGAAAATTATCATTTTATAACTTCCAAGTTAATCATCAATTTCAGGCAAAGATCATCGACAGATGCTAAAGCCACTGGCTGAAAGGTTACTGGGAAATAGAAAATTCACATGGACTCAAGATGTTACTACCTTACAGATTACTTACTAGTCACAAAGGGAAAAAGCTACTTTTGCAATAAAGAGGTCTATAGTCATCACCTAATCAAGGGATCAGTCATATCATCACCAGCAGGACAAACTATGTGCCTCCTAGGAATGCAATGAGAAGTACAAAATGTCACTTAAGTAATATTTTTTTTTTTTTTTTTTTTGAGACAGAGTCTCACTTTGTTGCCCAGGCTAGAGTGCCGTGGCGTCATCTTTGCTCACAGCAACCTCAAACTCCTGGGCTCAAGCGATCCTCCTGCCTCAGCCTCCTGAGTAGCTGGGACTACAGGCATGCACCACCATGCCTGGCTAATTTTTCCTATATATTTTTAGTTGTCCAATTAATTTCTTTCTATTTTTAGTAGAGACGGGGTCTCGCTCTTGCTCAGGCTGGTTTTGAACTCCTGAGTTCAAACAATCCGCCTGCCTCAGCCTCCCAGAGAGCTAGGATTACAGGTGTGAGCCACCGCGCCCGGCAAGTAATATCTTTTGTATTTAATATAGTATATTCTAAACCTGACCATGAGAAATCAGTCAGAAAGCCAGAATGTGGGTAACTGTACAAGACAAGTGGCCTCGATTCTACAAAACAACTAGTCAGCTATAAAGACACTTACGGGAAAACTGAGGAAATTTAAAAAGAGATTCTATAATATACATTATAGAATTATTATAATTGTATCAGATGTGAAAATGATATTATGGGAGATAATAGTATAAAGGATGCATGTATTCAAGGATTAAGTACATGCTGATATATTTAGGGGTTAAGTTTATGACAGCTGCAATTTTCAGTGGATCACTAAAAAAATTATTTTATATATACAGAGAGACAAAAGAAATGTGCTAAAACGTTAAAAATTGGCAAATCTATGTGAAGAGTGTGTGTGATTACATTTACTGAATATTCAAATTTTCTAGAAATTTGAAAAGTTTCAAAATAAAAAGGTAGGGAAAAAATGTTAAAATTTAAAAAATAATAAATAAGATCTTCCCAAACCTAGCCTGTCTCAGCAAGGCCCCCACTATCCTATAGCACTGTGGGCCATCTTGACCTCAGGCCTCCTTCTCAGTCATGCAGGGCAGCCCACGGCTGGCCAGCACCTTAGCAAAGGGACTACTAAATCCAAGGCCTGGATTAGAACAGTAGATGGCAAAGAAGACTTAGCACAACTCTTCAACTTTGGGTAAACTCACCATAATCACAAAGGAGGCAATCCAAATGATTCTCAAATGAGTGTCAAGCAGTCACTGGCATCTTTTTTTTTTTTTTTTTGAGACAGAGTCTCACTCTGTTTGTTGCCCGAGGTGAGTGCTGTGGCATCAGCTCACAGCAACCTCAAACTCCTGGGCTCAAGCAATCCCCCTCCCTCAGCCTCCCAAGTAGCTGGGACTACAGGCACACACCACCATGCCTGGCTAATTTTTTCTATTTTTTAATAGAGACGGGATCTTGCTCTTACTCAGGCTGGTCTCGAACTCCTGAGCTCAAGCTATCCTCCTGCCTCGGCCTCCCAGAGTGCTAGGATTACAGGCATGAGCTGCTGCACTCAGCCCGGCATCATTTTCAAATATGAAAATGACTGTTAACTTAGATGACCACTGAATAGAATCGTAGAGGGAAATGAAAATTGAAGAATTCCATCCTACAGTTAGATTTCTCATGAAAAATAGGACTTAGAAAAGCCACAAGGAATTTAATTGGTAGAACCTGAAAATAAACCATTGACTTCAAAGAATGTCTAGGACTTACAGACAATCTGCTTCTAAAAAAAATGAAAATAAGCCAACAAAGGTTTTGCTGGAAGTCTTCTGAAATTCACTCAAAAGTGTCAGGAAATGTGGCTTTGCCTTTAAAAAAAAATCTCAGCTAAAAGTAAATTAACACACATTTATTAATTTATAATCCCTCACCATATTAGGTATTGCAGAATTAGGTATTATACCAAATACGGTAGAAAAGGTACACAGAGCAAAAGACATCACGTCAGATAAAAAGCAATCTCACAAATTCAGTAAAAACAAGATGGAAGAAAAAGGAACAAAAGAGGGAACAGTAAATAAAATAAGCCAGTTGTTTCTAAACCAAATAACAAAACATACAAAACAAAAAAAGGACACAGTCCCAGCATGCTAT